GAGTGACACACAACGAAGATGAACTGGAAAATTTGGGCAGAAAATCTTTGGAAATAATCCATTATAATTGGAAACTTACTAACTGGTACGAGTAGAAGTGTTGAATTTTATATCAATCCACAAGCTCTGATTCTACTCACTACTATTACCCTCAAAGACAGAGTTCACGACAGAAATGGTGTCTGAGTCTTTCTCTAGGTTAAACCTGTGATCCCAGAGGGTACGAGCTAGAAAGGGTGTAATAAGCGCCCCAAAACACACCAACCCGAAGGTGGACGAGTTCTAGCGGCGCTACAGAGGCGGTAGAGATTGTTGCATTCGCACGGGGACGTTGCACCTAGGCAGCTTACTGTGGTCAGCTGTAAGTAATGGCCTAACTCGTTCGAATACTCTTTCCAATTTTTGTGGTCCCGCCCTTTCCAATTCTTTATTCTACTACTTTTTGGAACCCGGTATTTTTCTAGATACGGCAAATTTGGCGTTTTCTTTGCCACTTTCTTTCTTCTTTGTACTATTCTGGACTACCAGTTCTACTATTCGACTGAAAGTAGATGCCCCGAAATAATCGTGAGCCTGTACCTTGAAGCTGTGATGCAAAACCTACAGCAGGATTCCACGCCGGCCGAAGACAAGTCCCCCTAACTCCGTATCATGTCCTTCGCCATGTAAAGAGTAATATGAATTGGTCAAGGATTTGAGGCGCACGTTAATCAGCCCTCCACATAGGATCGGCGAGCTGGCTGAAGAAGGTTACATTCAGCCACCACAAGCACTAGTAACATATTCTGCGTCCATGCTCTATTATTGGAGGAAACGAAGAGACGTTCGTCTCACAACCAGTACCATCATGTATTAGAATTCCCGGATTTGGTGTCTCCCCTCCGAAAACGGCGTCGTATTCGCCGCACTCGATCGCGCGGAGTCGCGCGCTTTGATGGGCAAGGTTTGAATTCCCAGTGCAAGAATAGGGTAGCCGCCGCGTGACCTTTTTCGCTTGCCGTGGGGATTCGGGGAGAAGTTTCGGACAAAGAATCCCCACATCTTCCCAACCCTCAGTATCCAATCGTTGAGCACACGCACCAGTGATAACACTCGTGTGGCCCCATCAGATCAAAAACTTTCTCCACGTACGGACTTCAATAAATCTCGGCATGATTTAGCTTGAAATAATTCTGTGTTTTACTCTCACGAGGTTGTTATAAAACTTTATGCGACGCTCGGCGATGTCGCCTTCCTCAGAGCCTGAAAGGGTCAAAACAATTTGTCCATATCCGCTTAAACGCCTCTGCAGCCTTACTGAAGTTCGAGACCCCCAGGCACCGTAACTTCGTGGATTCTCACAACGTTCGCAAAAACGTTCTGTAAATAAGACTTCCAAGACGAGCGATAAGAGTGAAGAGCTTAGCATAGGCGGGTCTGAGTCAACGACGTCATTCATATTGGCTAAGGCATTCACAAGCTCAGGTGGAAATGTAGAGTTCTAGGTGGAGGTATATTCTCACCCGCGCAGGATACTTGAGCATTTCGAGACGGTTTGCGATAACCAGTACCGTTCATAAAGAAATCACCTTGAACCTTTTTCGCCATAACTCATCTCGAGCTCAATATTTTTGACTGATTTTTTGATATGTAGCCAACAGTAATGATATTTAATGTCTCCATCACAGGATTCACAAAACTCCTTATTTCGTTCAAAGAACCAATTTTCTATTTTTTTCTGAACAGGACAAAATAACAGCAGATTCACAATTTGAAATAAATCACTTGATTTGAACGCTATCATCATGAGATTAAAACCTAATCGGCTACTAGTCTAACACTTCGTAGGGAAGCCGTTGGCATCGATGATGGCTTGGCATCTGCGGGGCATTGATTCGACCAACTTGTCGATCAGGCACTCATCGGTTTCCTTCCATTCTTCTTCAAATAGGCCAAACTTCTAAGCAGCATTTGTGACTGTTTTAACGGCTATCCTTTTCTTGAGTTCTTGCCACGACGGTCCATTGATTAGGGTTTAGGTCAGGGACCGGCTGGGTGAGACAAGGCATCGTATTTCCCAATGAGTCAGCCACTCGTGCGCCCTTTCTAGATCTGTCTCCGGGGTCGTAATCTCGTTTAAAAGTAAATTTTTCCGGCACAGGACGGGAGAAAGGCAGTATGAATTTCTTCAAAATGCCTATGTACATCTGCTGGGCCGTAGTGGTGAGAATCTGGTCCATGGACCTCATGCCTAGACACGGAGACCATCCCCAAACCAAACTGAGCCTTCACCATGCCTGAGAATTGTTAAATGGTACTTGGGCTCGGAACTTGTGTTCCAAAAAGTCGTCTACGGAAGAAACTCAAGTGCACCAAGCAAAACAATCTTTGACTAGTCGCTCTAGATGACTTCGCGTCATTGATTGAAGGCCCAGTGAAGGTGCCCACGCGTCCATTGAAGTCGAGCTCGTCTGTTTTTTCAGAGATACAGATAGTTTTTGACAAGTCTTCCTCCATATATATTCCAGCAACCCACAGGCGTTCTGATGGTACCTCTAGATGATAACGACGTCGCCGTCGTCGATATTCCTACCATTATATCGGAATATGCTCGTCTAGAATCTTGAGCACAAATGGTCTTCCTATCGTCCTCAGGTGCGGCAATCCGTAACCTTTCCGAGCTGGCTCGTTTGATTGGGCCTGTGAGAGACTCAATACCTCTGATAGCTATTGTAATTGTAAACAATGGTTCAACAAACAGCCTTGGATGTTAGGCATGGGTCAAGTTCTGCTTACTGCCCGTGGCAATGGCGGAGAGCTGCTCCACGGTCAAAAGCAAGGGCCAGGATTTACTCTAAACTGAGAGCGATCAGCTAACAGAACATAAGAATCGCCAATATTTCTAAAGCATGCCCCTTTTGCAAGTTTTTGAAAAAAAAAGTTCACCTACTTCGCCGGAAATGACCTATCGCCAATTTTGCATCGCAGGAGAGCATCAGGTAAAAAGATTGAGTTTGAGATGAATTGTGGCAGAAAAGGTTCAACAAGATTTCTTTTTGAACAGTCCTATATGCATGCACAAGGAAAGCGATAGAGAGGGTCTATTTCATATTGGCTGCTCTCCTTGAGAGTCTGGATATCTGAATATCCCACACCCAGGAAGTATTTTTTGAGATTAAAATTAATCAAATTGTTATATCATATTACTATTGAGGCAGTCGTAGAGAGAATCAAATGAGACCGAAGAAGTAGCAACAACACTGATAAACCCATAGTGCATATGTGAGCTCCCTTTCAACTATGGTTATCTCGGATCTGCTTAGCTTCTGATACTTCATCGTATTCCACTAAGGATTAATGAAAAAAGTGGAACATACTTTGAGCAGAAATTTGATCGAAGAGCATTGTGATTAGCATTGCCAGAGGGATGAGGTCGTGGATTTCTTTTTCCATTTTTTCAACCATGTTTTTCCCGAAGCGATAGTCTCAGAAATCCTCCTTTCCTAGATCTCCATAGGGCAACGCTTCCAACAAAAATCTCATGTGAATCTGTGTCACGCCACAATCTGCTCGTTAGTATGACAACTACAAACTATAACCCTACAATGCTTTTTGAGTCATGGATCGTGTAAGTCCTTAGACCCAAACTCGAACTCCGAGGGTTTTTTCAAGAGGACTGCCAGAAATCTTTAGAGAATGTCTTCAAACTCTCTTTCAAACGAGAGTGAGATATATTCTGAATAACAAATCCCATGTCAGACTTTGTTTTGAACCGTCTAAGGGCAACTAAACAGCCCACTCTTACAGGATCGAGAGCTAGTCGACACCAGTTTCCTTTGAACGGTGAAGTAGTCAAAGGATGTAGTATCGAGTGTGCGCGTAAAACATTCCCCAAGTGGAAATATATTCAGCTGGGAGGGTGAACCGCTTCCTTCTTCAGCTCTGAGCGCTACAGCGCAGAGAAAGAGCGTAGCCGTCATCGCAAGCCCTTAATGGTGCATAGGAACGTTTTTCAACCGAGAAAATAGGTTTTTTCTACCCCTAAGCCTTAAAAGGGAAGGAGTTCCGGGATGGGTGAGCCAATCGAATGACCAGTCCTTATCCCAACCCGGCCTTGCACAACGTGATCATGTCACTCAAGCTGGTGCTCCTTCCCTCCCCAGGCTTGAGTAAAAACCATGTGCCTTTGGCTACCTTTTCCAAACACAAGAGAAGTCGGCTACTCCCCCCCCCCCCCCCCGCCTCCAATTAGAATTTCACCGCCATGCCCACGATTTACGTGCCATCTCAAGCGTACACTCTAACCTTTTCAAAGATGATCTGGGGGAGTTTATTTTGTTTACTACAGCGAATTCACAGCAGCAGCAGCACAGCAGGAAACCTCCACCTGGCACACACGTGTTATCCCGAAACCAAAGATGAAATACATCAGCAACTTTGACCCCATGGTGTTCGTCCAAAAAGGTGGAGAGTTGACAAATGGAAAGACTCTTAGAAGATTGGGTACGCTCCAACGCATTGATCTTTAACCAAGTCCTAAAGCTCTAGTTGTCCTTGATTAGGATCGATGAGGCTAAAGGTGGGTGAGTGCCCAATTGGGGGATGCTATTACACTTTTTACGCAAAAAGCGCTCGGATATTTCGTATCTTAGACAGACTATTTACTCGTATATTACTGAACCTTCACCTGTCATATTTATGATAAAGATGGCATCCAAAATCTCTTCTCCGGCCCATAAATCAGTATTTACAATACTACTGCAAAAAAGTACTATAATCAGCATGAAAATAATTCTCCCACAGAATACCAGCACCCTTCACCGAAAAGTAGCTCAAAGAGGTACTTTCACCAAAAAGGGTACTGCAAAACATTCCTAACGTGCACAAACGAAAAAGCAGTAAAATGTTACAAGTCGAGATCCAAACAACATAATTGCGAGAATTTCAGAGAGAAATGTCAGAGAGAATTGAGAGAAATTTGCTGCCTTTGAAACACCTTGTCAGTTTTCTACTCGTATCAGCTATGTTTTTTTCTTTCTAGGAGGGAATGCATTGAGATAACCTACGATTCCTTGGCTTTCTATAAGTCTAGCTGGATCAGCTGGTTTAAAACTGTAATCCGTAGCTTTTCGCACATCCAGGATTTCGATGCCTGAGCTATCAAGCTGATTGGATCCTTTGACGGTATCGCCAGTCGTTGGATTTCTTGAAGGACCATGTGTAGCACTGATAGAATCTCGAACAGTTGTCTCATCTTTCCTTCGCTTTTTCTTGACCGACACATCTAGACCTTGAGATTTTAAACTATTCGACGAAGCTGCAGTTGCTCGATGTCTCGAAGTTTCTGGCATTTTAGCACTTGCTCCATCTAAGGTCCGATCACCACTGTCAGCGTTCGACATCTTCCTTTTCGAGAACGCTCTATCGCTGCACTTATCCGATTCCTCATCGAGGCTTCGTCGTTTCCGACTACTTTTAGTGCCAAAAGAAGCTTTTTCATTATTCTCTTCGTCACTATGACTTTCAAAACCACTGCTTGACTCAGTTTTGGAATCTGAAGAGCTTGTTTCCGAGCCAACATCCAGGTCAAGAAAGGATATTGCTATGTCGATATCTTTTTGTTTGATCAACTCAGAATTGTCCTTGCGTTTGAGGAACATGCTGAGGATATCCGTCGATTTTACCTGAAGGATAAAGTTATCACATATACTGCAGAAAAAATCATCGGCAGAAAACGCAGAAAACGATTTAGGCCCACCTTACTTCAGAAAACCCCCTAATCAAAATGGACTGCTGTCTGCAGTGGTAAACAACTACTTCTACTGATTAGAGCGTAGAATCAGAACTTTTAGAAATTTCAGCATTTGTTGAGCAACATAATATAACAGAAACATCGTTGAACAATACTTTACGGTGAGCATTCCTCTCCCCCTCTGCCTTCTATCGCTCTCACTTTATGATTGACAAGAAGATAAATCTGAAGTCATGAAGTTTTAAGTTTCGTCTAGACAGAGCCTATACTCCGGAAATGATAATAAGAACAGCCTAAGCGACAAAATCTAGCAAAAGAAGCCATAAATAAGTTTGACCAGAGTTACTACAGAGGCTGTCAAAGGCCTTTCCAGCTTCAATAGGCATTTCCAAATTGATCATGCAGACCGTTTCTGCACTCAAGAAAAGTTTTTGCAATACGATCGTCGTCAGGAAGTAGTAGTAAATCAACTCACGTAACGTTTAAGAGCGGTTGGCGGTATCCAATCATCGAAGTGGCTCAGTGAGTACACAATCAAAGCCTCCACTAAAGCTCTTCGACTTAAGGCAGGAAATCCATGATTCTTACGACAGGGATTCTGCGAAGTATTGATTGTGAGGAATAATACGCACTGAGAAGTATTAAATCAATTTCCTAATTCTCACGCGAAAAAAGATGGGTTACGCTACGTCTAAATCGAGCAGAACCTCTCTATGCATTTTATAATGTTTAAAAGTATATCGGCAAACATTAATAGACGCTGTAGGTACAATAGTTCGGGGTGTGAAAAAACTACGCGCAACAGTGGCAATGACCCATCAAAGAAGTAAACGAATTGATCTACGGATTAGTTCCATGATTTCTTAAGACTAAGCTTTCCGTACAAATATGTTCGTACTGTAAGGTAACTAAGGTAATCGCATTTAAATAAGTCACATTTTTGCTGTGTCTGCCTTCCTGACATGAATTCTGGCAAAGTAGCACCTTTCTATTAAAGCGACTCTACATAGAAGGTTACAAGGCTAACCCTGAATCGGTAACGTTCCGGCACATCAGAATTCCAAACGGAATCTTCATCGTCGTCAGGGCAATATCTTGGTGAAAACCCACACTGATAGTCGTAAGCCAGCGATAAAATATGTACTCGCTCTGAAAAAAGAATATTCACCAAGAGTTGCTTACCGACAGCTTTTTTAAGCCATAGAAGAGCTGAAATGTCTGGAACTTTACTACTACTCGCAAGATATGACAGATACGATGGTAGCTTCAGGGTAATATTTAACACAGCTCGCGAGTCATTGTTATACCACGATCACATCAAAAGCTACCTTTTAATGTATAAGGCAGCCTCAGTCTTCGGAAGAGGAGTCCATGAGCACGATGTGCCACTTTCCGCGTTTTCTTGAACAGATACTCATGTTCTTCACACCCTCCAGCGTAGAATCCGACGATACCTTCCTCTTCCAGTCTAAATTATAATAGAACTGTATACATGCGATCAAGCACAATTCAACCGAATTTCATGGCCAAAAAATAATTGGAACGAAGATGGGTCGTAAATTTAAGGTCTAAAATGGTCTTGTTGTGCCTTAGTCAAACCTACCGAGATCGGATACTTTGCCAATCGTAAAGTCTTTTACTACATGCGTCATATATAGCTTCGTAAGGAGTAGCCTCGCTCAATATGTGCAAAAAGCTGGAAAAGTCCTCGCTGGAAATAGCAGGAACAGCGTCGAAAACCTCGAAAAGACTGTAAATTTTAAAACAAAGCAAATCGTTTGTACCAGGAAAGGAAAAAAGGAAAAATGAAGATTGTGGTTCAAACATACTTCTTTCAAAGCAATATTCCATGATTCCTTAGAGCTTTTGCCCGACTCCCTGTGGTTATTACACTGACTCCGAAGGAACCTCAGTAATCGATGCCTTAAATATGCAAAACTATAAGTAATGGGAGCAAAAGTACGTCAGTGAATGTGGCAAGAAGATGATTCATAAATTCTTTCTTGCTCTGTATTCGTGGCATCAAGCTTCCATACAAAGGTCTAAGGTTCGAAACAATATTTATGTGAAATAGCGATATTTCGAATCTGATATGGAAAAGGATTGCTCAATGAAGAAAAGACTAATAAGAACTTCCGTTACTAACCATGCATCCTGGACCAATTCGACCGAGTACACCATTCGCTGTGCAACAATATTCCAAGGGATGAGGTGATCATACTCGTTCACATTCTAAAACGTTTGACTAATACTTAATGCGCTCAATCGATAATTCTATGGCTAGTGTAGTTATAATATTATAGCTCCTTCACATTCTAGAGAGCCGTCTGATCGGAGCGTTTTCGTTTTCAAAAGAAACAAAGGCGCAACATATCATGCCACGCCTACAAGCGTTTTCGGTTTTTTTATTCCTCATGTTTGAGACATAAAAAATTTGGAACGTGGTGGTAATAAATAATGTCAATAAAAAATGATAAGGAATCAAAAAATTTCGAACAGTTTACAGAACGCTTACTTCTAGGCGACCTTTCCGAATCCGTTTAGAGACTGTTCGATCAAAATTCTCATCACCACGCAATGAACACTGTTTAGTGACGACAACTGAAAGATCGTAATAACCCCTCAAAACTGCTGCACAAAGGGGAAATTGAGGATGGAAAGTGAGAAGTAAACCTTACGCCAGAGCTTCTTACGAAGGTGATCTGGAACGGGTCCAGTTCTTGCCAGAACGCTTCTTAAATGGTTCTGGCATGTATGAATTGGGAGTTTCATATGCTGAAAATACATGAAAACCCTACCTCGATGTATAGAACAGGGAAATGGAAAAAGGGAAAAAGCTGCACGTACATTCCCAATATGTTTCATGGCCCAAGCTGACATCCCATAAATTTTGTAATACCGAAGAAGTTTCTCTGTCTCCTGTGCTGACCATTGATGGCTGAATGAGCTTCCTTCATTAAAATAGTAGACAAAACCAGCATTCTACAAAATAAACTGCCAAGGAGCAGTGAAACGTACACTTTCGAGTAGGCGAGCTCAGCATGCCCCTCTAAAATCGCTGCATCAAACAATTTCCCAATCCGACCACGAATCTGAACCGCACTACGATGAGGTAACTTACGACCTGAAAACCCATACAACTGTAAGAAAATGAGCACAACCATGAATTGAAGAATGCCTAAAAGGTTCAGGTAGTTTGGATGGGATGCCTCCCACTTGTACAAACACTTACACATTTTTGGCCAAAACCTAGTGGTAGTATTGAACGTCACACGCTCTTCTATGGAATCGAATATTGCCTAAACAAAGATTTGGTGCAAAACATCATAGGGAAATTACAGTGGTGGAAAAGTTCACCTTATAGCCAGGAACACCTGCGTAATTTGGTGCCAAGTTATAATCCAATTTATGCTTCGCAGCAAACCTGAACAAAATAAGAAATAAATGGAAACATTGAACCAAATGAACACATTCAAGCACTTAGAACACCGTTACATTAAAGCAAGCTGGAATTGAAAGAATACATTATCGAACCTTGCCCAATTCTTCTTAATTCGCTCGTCTTCCTCCGGAGTGAATCGTGTTCGTGGTTGATACGGTATATCTAGAATGAGACTGACAAATCTACTAGTTCAAACTATGCTCAAACTCACCATGCTCACGAAGGCGTTCCAACTCCTCACGAGTTAAAGGTTGAGGAGTGCTGTGATGAAAGAGGAAGCCTTCTTCAGTGTAAATGCCAGAACTCGGTAAACGAGGGTGCTTCGGCATACACCTAACTGTTCAATTTGGTTAGATTTGAGATCAGAACGTGTAAACCTCGAACACAAATCGTTTTGATACCAATTTTTTCAAATTTTTCACTCCAGTCGTATGCATTGATTTTGACTATGCACAACAATTGCCACACAGTGTTAATTAAATGTTTATGAAAATCTCAAACATCCATACCAAACAAAGAAAAGAAATGGCCAACTAGAAACGGATCTAAAAAATATATCACTCTGTAAAACTTATCTATAGGAGCAACCCGTTAAACAGTGAGAAGGTAGAATATCGAAGTATTGCCCGAAAAGAAATTACGCGTGTATAGACAAGCGAACTGGAGTCGAACAGCAAAAATGAATGTCTCTTATAACAGGACAGTAATGTTCGCAAATAAGTCGATAAGTAAGGAACCGTGGAAAAGTACAGATTATCTGAAACCTTAGTGCAAAGGCAGAAACGACATATGGCTTGGCTCCATGAGCAGGTTTTATCTCGAAAAGATTACTCTCGTAGCAAAAATCACGCAGTACATAAAGACGAACATCGACACCGGAGAAAGGGATGAGTCTAAAGATAATATCAATATATTAAATTAAAGAAATCAAAATTCAAGGAGGACATACCTGCGCTACCACAAACGTCTGAACTCCAAACGGATGGAAAACGAAGAATAACGTTGAGAGGCCAAAGTGCAGGGCTTGGGATACAAAGCGCCTGAAATTCAACTCTTGTCTAGGTGATGACAGCTTCCTCCAGGTTTCTCCACTTTAGTGAAAGCGTTGTGATACATAAGAAAAAGATAATTAGCAAGTTGGCCTATTTTAGCGATGTGTGAGAGACAATGGGAAAAGGCATTCACATCCTTCCATCACACGTAAGAATCAATTCGAGTTAAGGAGAGACACTCGAAACTTCTTCCTTATTCTAGCAGATGGAAAACAAATAGTATGAGCAACCTACGTAGATCCCTGAGACGATATGAAGGAGTAGCAGGCCGACCGCTTGCGACACGATATGTACTGCACCTTCGAGCTTTACTGGAGATGACTGCTTTTTATTATTCTCAGCAACTGTAAAAGTTGAATCTTAAACTTGAAAGGCTAGAAACTAAACGAATAAAAATATGAAAATTGAACAGGTACCTGCCAAATCATACTGCTCGACAGTTTTGTTGAGAAGCCTTTCAGTTTTGAAGTATGCGGAGAATTCAGATGTTGGAGAAATGGCAGCAAGTTCACTCCTCAGTCTCTTTACCTCACTGCTCAACCGTAAAACTTCAGGACTCGTCTTGGGCTTGATAAATGACTTCGCCTGAGAACGTGAATATTTAACAAGAATTAAACTGATCACTGAATTGAATTAATGATGCCTACGAAACTTGCATTTCAAAATTTTTCGACGGAACAGCTATGAAAAGATGTGTTTCAGATAATTAATGAAACTGCACCTACCCAATTTGCGAGTGTGGATGTGATATTGCGATGGAACGAGAAGATCAACGATACGATGATCACCAGAAGCAATTCGTAAGTGTTGAAAAACGATTCTGATATACAACCGTCGTCCGAAGAAATTCGACAAATGGTCCGGTTCCCCCCATGCCGCTCCCATGAATCCATCAACTAAATTTCTAATCACGGGAGTCTCGAAATACAACAATAAGGTGCTTTATCACTTATTTGAAACGAATAACAGACTTAATGTTAAAACACAAAGTACCGCACCACATGAATGTCAAAAATGAAAGGGCGAAACGGAGACGAACTCTTTATTATACGGTGTGCAACAGCACTATTCTCTGAATTACCGTCTTCGCATGACCTTCATTAATGTTCCTGAATGGGGCTTCCGAATAAAGGGACCTTTTTGCCATTCATTTCTTTCTGATGATACTGAATAGTTCTGATTAGCTCCGAATTTCTCGGAATGAAATAGGCTTTCTGGGGTAGATGGGACTACGGACGATGGGGGACCTACTTGTTCATGTATCAAAACCTCCTTCGAAGGCGATAATCAGCGCAGTGGTAGCCAGCTCTGTGTAATCTTATAGACTTCCTTTTTTCTTTGGAATTCATGAACACTGGGTCCAAAATAACATTTTTTGCCATTTATGCAGGCAAAAATAGGACTTTGTTCTTTCCGAAAAGCCGATTCCTCTCCTTTTAGTTCCCCCTGAAAGCATCCCACTCTGTCAGAATGCCATCAAATGGACGGAGCGCATTAAAAGTCTAGTCTAGTTTTTCTTCTAATCATTTCTGACGGTTTTTCATGGAGCAGCCGCACATTCAGCTATCGCGCAGGAATCTGGTACATTTGAAAGCGGATTTCACTTGAGCACAACCTCTGGAATATAATTAGTTTCACTTTTAGTTATAATTTAAAATGCTTACTGGTGGCCGGTCTATGTATAACAGTACTGCGGTGGCCCTGACCAATTAGCAACAATTTTTCTTTTTGGGGTCAAAATCCAATCGATTCTGAGGCAGGGGCACGAAAAAATGATGCTGTAGATTTCGCTCTTTAGAGTACCCGTCAGGAAGGGATGGCCTCGATTTCAAAGTCGTATAGGTCGTGCAAGTTGCTGTTATGAGTAATTAATAACACTTACAATCGATTGCATATTGAAACTGGACACGTAGTTCCTTCCGAAAAAATTTATTTCTACTGGACAAATTTCACAAACTTTCGATTCTCGTCTTTTTCTAAACATTGAAAGCATGGGATGCGATGGTTTGGGAAGCCCTTTACAGTTGAGGTAGTTGAGTAGGTAATTTTAGATTGTGCGCAAATCTGTGATTCTGGGGTACAGTTTCTTGAAGTAGAAACACTGCTTGTATGGTTTTTTGTGGAGGCAGTGTTGACGGGTGGAGTTCCCTTACCTCCGCTCTATATCATTGACAGACCTCTCCTGCTCAGCAGTCTGTCGAGAGCGATCGACTCTGTTGCACGTCTGTAGCATCCAAGGGTCTCCGCCTACTTACGTCCGAGCTGCTGTGTGATTGAATACAATCTCATGACATGTGAGAATTAATTCAATTTCCTTTCTTCCTTTCTTCACTATTATTTTTGGTTTGTCAATTGCACTTAGGCCTAATGTCTTTATTCAGTTGGTAGTATTATTTTGTATCATTTATGAATCTCTACATATCTCTGTGAAGATGATTAAGGGAGTCCTGCGGTTCAGCGAACATTCAAACGTGAGGATGTCCGTGAGCTGCGAGATCTTTCTGAGCTTCCTCATTGAATTTGTTGGCGATCGCCTCCAATGCAGCCTTCTGTTCAGCAGTCAGTGATGTTCCGCGGGTTTCGAGGAAACTTTCAATGCTTGTCCAGATTTCCTGAACAGGTGGCTTTCACTCTTTGACTACGCTCGAAATATGGTTGATTTCGTGGCACGAACCTTCCACTCTTTAGGATCGATTCCCTTGTCGGAGTGACGGTGTATGAGGTCTCGAACGAATGCGCGGAAGACGGCATCCTAGAAATAGACAACTCTGATAGCTTGTCGTAGGAGGGTCAGCAAAGGTAAAAGCTCACATTGTCGTAGGTATTAGCAAGAACATGGACGGCCGTGAGCAGTCTAGTCCCCTGCTTCTTGAACCTGTAATTGACTAATGAATCTCCAATAGTATAAATAGTTCCGAGGTAGTAGCTCACCTGTCGCTTTTGTCGACTTCATCGGAGGTGATGCTCTCAGCACCTTTGAAGTATTTGCGAACCTCTGGATGTTTCGAGAAGTAGCTGAAATACCAGTAGCTTTCCGAAGTTACCAGACACTTCGAAAAAGAGCTTCTCAGCAAGCTTACTGTTTGTAGAAGTCCCTGCCGATATGATCCTTCTCTGGGGTTGTGCCAAGTGGAGCATGTTCCAAGGCTGTTACAGCGTTCTTCTTGACATCTCCTGGAGATGTCCTGGAAAATTTGACCGGACACTATTGTACTGACCTTACTCGGGACCAGACCGCTTGTTTTTAATAGGTCCTGAACCACTTTCTAGCGGTACCTGATCACGTTAACTAGATATTCGGATATTCGTAGGTACCTGTCGAGATGGTCCCTATACCCGTCTTATTTGCTCGTTTTCCCGAGCAAGAACCTCAGACATTGAAAAGAAGGGAAGAGTATAGAAGAGTTGACCTAGTAGTAGGTAATTTGTTCGAAGACCTAGCTAATGATTCTCATAGGCTTTAAGTATGTCCACGGAGACATAAAGGAAACTCACGCTGTCGCATAGGCAATGAGGAGAGCAACAATGAGAGGGTTCATTTCTGAAAAAAAATACAGTAATTGAAGGATATCAAAACTTCAATTTTGGAAGGATCAATATGTGGAAGAGAGCAAGACCGATAGAAGTTTTTCATGATCTGGGGGAAGGAGGAAAGGAGCCTAGTGAAAGCTAGCTAGTATAACAGAGGAAAGGAAATGGATGGGAAATGTTTATCAAAATGAAAAAAGTAGTCAGTCATAGAGCGTTTATACTTCGAAGAGGAAGTGAAACAGCTTGAGAAGATCGAGAGATTAGCGAGCAGCAGAAACGAGAGCAGGATTTTCCAGGAGGAGCTAAGGAGTTAGGGTCGCTAGGAATTCGACGGAACTAAAGCGATTGTCTGGCAGATTGAATTTTTATGCGGTTTTATACTGCTCGAGAAAAAGTCGATATGACTAAGGACGATATTGTAATCCGCTATTCTCACGTTTGCTCTGATGAGGATAGTCTAGCTTTTGTAAAAAAATAACAACATTCGTGACTAAAGCCACATTCCGCTATAGCAGGATGTCGAGCGGGGGAATAAGAAGAAACAAAAGTATAGTTGCTGAACGCCCGCGCTGCAAAGGACAAACCTGCAAAAGCCGTGAACGATGTGAAAAAATTTGCATTTTTTTTATGATGATGCTTTCTGAATTTATGCGGAGTGTTGGCGACTTTTTACGGCGCTTGGACGAGTTTTCTGCTACTGTTGGCATCGTGGGGACTGTAGAGCTTGAGTAAAGCGGTTGGTGCTGCTGATCGGGCAGCAAACTGACAGCTGATGGTGAATAGACGACGTAGGGGAGTGAGTGCATATTCCAAGTTCAAAGACGTCCTCAGATGAGACATGACAAAATACTGGAAATCCTTAACCGTCTATTCTCCTGAATGTCTCAAAATTTATCACTTGATGTAATTTGTGTGTTCCTCCTTTTTGCGGATTTTACAGATAAAGTCAAATTCATGCCTCGATGACTTATTTTCGGTTTTCTACTGCTGGTGGTTCTATGTTGGTGTATTTGGTGTTTTGCTTTGGTGTCTAGCCCTTTATCTTTGGTGTTTATGTCTATCAATGAAAAAGTTAGTCGTTGGTGCTTTTGAGGAAATCACGTTGCAACGGTTCATCTCCCAGTGGGAAAACTTGAGAGCCTAGTGTGAGTAGCGGTGAATGATTTATTCTCTAGATCGAGCTACCGCTCGATTTTAAGTAGCCGCGGCTTTATTCTCCCGTCTATGTATAATCAATTCATAATAGAAATGATTTGAAAAACTGCCCTTCCCATTTATTGCAGAAAACATATCCAGCAAAACCGTTTCAGATGCTTCTTCAAGGGTGTACTTGTGTTTGTATATCTTCTGTCAGATGCATGGCGCAGAGTTGGCCCATTGATCAGACAAGCACAGCAATTAGAGACTGGAGTGAACGGAAGTGCGACCGACGAGGGCAGAAACATAGCCGCGATCGTCCCAATTAAAGGAACATGCTGCTTTCACAGTCCGCCGACGGGCCCGCGAGCGCGCCAGCGAGCCGGCGAGCGTGCTGGTCGGGGACTACTCGGCCGTCGCTATCGACCAAGATTCAGCTGTAAGAAAGGGGCAAGCGCCGTTCCCGGTCGGCGGAGTATGAAAGCAGTCTGAAAGCAGGTATAAGTTCATTAGGGGGGACGGTACGAAGGTGCGTCCGAGAGTGCGCGCGGCTAATTGCGCGGCGAAGTTCGTGACGATTTGTACGACGGCGGCGTCAATTTTCGGGGCACAAAGTTGAAGTAATGTAGTTTATTAGGGTCAGATGATCCTCCTAATCCACTCTATTTCAAATTTGCCCCAATGATAGGCACCGAAGCCGTTCAAATCATTACGAACTTCGCCGCGCAACTTGCCGCGCGCACCCTCGGACGCACGGTCGTACACATACCCGTTCATTAGTCCGTAGACAGCGAAAAAGAGGCGAACTTCCTAGGGTGTTGTGTGCAACCGCACATTTCATTGAACTACCGTAACCTTTCGTTAGATTTAGTTTTCCGCAACGCAGTGCACGGCCTTCATCGAATTTTCCTGAATGGATTTTAATATAAAGGGCAAATATGCGATTCTGTTCTTTCCGATTTTATCGAATAGTTCTGGATAGCTCTGCATCCCTAGAAATAAAGTAAGCTTTTCCGGCAGAGTTGGGACTTTGGACGATCTGGGTCCCACTTGCACAAAGAACAAATCCTGGTGAAAATGTAGTTGGGGGTAGGGGGTGGGTAGAGCGCAGAGAATGAAGATTACCTGAGCCCGTAATGGTGCTTAGGAACGTTTCATAGTTCTCTTTATGTTATTTGTGTATTTTTTTAGCTAACTTCAAGAAGGAAACGAGCTCCGGGATGGGTGAGCCAATTGGATGTTCAATTCTCACCTCATCTCAGTTTTTTGGGTGAGATAGCTATCTCACCCACCCTGGAGCTCCTCCCCTTCTTAAATTCAGGTAAAAATTGTATTCTTCTGGTTAAGAAGCATCTCTAAGAACAAGTAAGGACGATTAATCCTCATTTTCTGCGTTCTAGCCCTTCAGTGATTCGAAGGCGCTGGCCCCTTCCCCTAACTACATTTTCATCCAAATCCTCCTTCAATGGCGACAGTGAGTGCAATGGTAACGAGCTCTGTGGAATCTTACGGCCTTCCCCAGGAAAACAACTATCTTTTTTTTCTTTGAATAACCTGATGTTCAAAATAGCATTTTGGCTATTTTAACGCAATTCAGACAAAACCTTCATTATCTTTATTAACTGATTCTGATCGTTTAAGATAGCATTGAAAATCATCCCGATTTTCCAGAATGCCATCAGGGCATGTCAGACGGAGGGCATAAAAAATTGGCTCTAATCGATTGCTCTTACCATATCAGTTTTTTCTATGGAGCAGCCGCGCATTCAACTATCGTGAAGGATCCTGGTACATTCGAAAGCGATTCTGATTTGAACGCAACCTCTGGAGCGCAACTAATTTTACCAATATTTGCACGTCGATCTACATATAACTCTACTAATATGGCCTTGACCAAGTAGCAACCATTCTACTCTTTGGGGTAAGAATCGAAGCGGTTCAGAGGCAGGGGCACGAAAAACTGATTCTGTAGATTTCGCTCTCTAGAGTACCCGTCAGAAAGGGATGACCTCGAGTTCAGAGTCGTATAGGTCGTGTAAGCTGCTGTTATGGGCGAATAGGAACCCATACAATCGATTGCAAATTGAAAGTGGGCACATAGATGATTTTGGGAGCGAAATATTTACTGTTTCTTACCTGTTCCCTTATTTCTACTGAACAAGTTTCGCAAACTTTGGATTTTCATACTTTTTCTATACATTGGAAACATGGGGTGCAGTGAATTGGGACGCCTTTTACAAATGAAGTAGAGAAGTAGGTAATTTTAGATGGTGCGTCCATTTCTAGAGATCGGTACCGACGTCCTCTCACTTCCTCCAGACTTCTTGTACATCATTGATTCTGGCAGTATTGATGGGTGTGGGCGGAGTTTCCTTACCTCTGCTCCAACTCATTGACAGGTCTCTCCTCCTCACCAGTCTGTTGTGAGCGATCAACTGTGCTGTGATTGCCTCCTGCCATACTTAGAGTTACGTTTACTTACGTCCGAGTAGCTGTGAGGCTGTGAGAGTTCTAATTTTCTTCAGTCACTATGATTTTTGGCTTGTCAAAGACACTGATTTCTGATGTTTTCATTCAGTTTTGTAGCATTGTTCAGTACCATTTATGAAGTACATATCTCTGTGAAAATGATTAAAGGAGTCCTGCGGTTCAGCGAACATTCAAACGTGAGGATGTCCGTGGGCTGCGAGATCTTTCTGAGCTTCCTCATTGAATTTGTTGGCGATCGCCTCCAATGCAGCCTTCTGTTCAGCAGTCAGTGATGTTCCGCGGGTTTCGAGGAAACTTTCAATGCTCGACCAGATCTCCTGAATAGGTGACCTTCATTCTAGAATTATGCTCGAAATATGGTTGATTTCGTGGCACGAACCTTCCACTCTTTAGGATCGATTCCCTTGTCGGAGTGGCGGTGTATGAGGTCTCGAACGAATGCGCGGAAGACCGCATCCTAGATATAGGCAACTCTGATAGCTTGTCGTAGGAGGGTCAGAAAAGGTAAATGCTCACATTGTCGTAGGTATTAGCAAGAACATGGACGGCCGTGAGCAGTCTAGTCCCCTGCTTCTTGAACCTGTAATTGACTAATGAATCTCCAATAGTATAAATAGTTCCGAGGTAGTAGCTCACCTGTCGCTTTTGTCGACTTCATCGGAAGTGATGCTCTCAGCACCTTTGAAGTATTTGCGAACCTCTGGGTGTTTCGTGAAGTAGCTGAAATACCAGTAGCTTTCCGAAGTTACCAGACACTTTGAATAAAGAGCTTCTCAGCAAGCTTACTGTTTGTAGAAGTCCCTGCCGATATGATCCTTCTCTGGGGTTGTGCCAAGTGGAGCATGTTCCAATGCTGCTACAGCGTTCTTCTTGACATCTTCTGGAGATGTCCTGGAAAAATTGACCGGACACTATTGTGTCGGACCTTATTCGGCACCAGATCACTTTTTTTCCGGAAGACTCGAACTTTTCCTTAGCAATCCCTGATCACGTTAATCTAGTCATCCGTGGGGTACCTGTTGAGGTGCTCCTTACCATCAACCGCTCGTTTTCCCGAGTAAGAATTAACGACTTTAAGAAGGGTAAAAAGGGATGAGGTGCTTCAAGTATTTCCAGAGAACATAAGGGAAACTCACGCAGTCGCGTAGGCAACGAGGAGAGCAACAATGAGAAGATTCATCCCTGAAAGAAATTTTACAATCGTTGGGAACCCAATTTTCAAGTATAGAAGGATCAATGTAGAGTGGTCAGCCATCGGGCTTCTGAAAGCTTTGAAGATTCAGCTTTGAGCTGCGTCGGAGAGCAGGAGGGGGCTAAAGATAAGACCTGTAGATGTTCTTCAGGAAAAAAGAACGGTTGTTTAGTGAAGCTAGCCAAATTAGGTAAGGAAAGAGATGAAATGGAAAACGTTGATAAAAATGATCAGAAAAAAAGTAGTCAGTCATAGAACGTTTGTACTTCGAAGATCTAGTGAGATAGCTTAAGTCACGCGAAGGACAGGAGACGATGGGACAGAATCATCACATATTTCTTGAAGAAACGATCTAGAGAGGAAAGGCTGGCAGGAGAGACGAGAGCAGGATTTTTCAGGAGTCAAGAAGATAGACCAGATAGGAGCCGCCGATGCGAATGTCTGCCGGATTGAAATTTTATGCGGTTTTATACTGCTCGAGAATAAGGTCGATATGACTAAAAGACGATATTGTAATCCTCTATTCTCACGTTTGCTCTGATGTAAGATAGTCTATCTTTTGCAGAAAATAACAACATTCGTGACTGAAGCCACATTCCGCGTTAGCAGGATGTCGAGCGGGGGAATAAGAAGAAACAAAAGTATAGTTGCTGTACGGCCGCGCTTCAAAGGACAAGCCAGCAAAAGCCGTGAACGATGCAAAAAATTTGCCCCGTTTTTATGATGGTGGTTTCTAAAATTATGCGAGGTACTGGCGACTTTATACAGCGCTTGGACGAGTTTTCTGCTATTGTTGGCATCGTGGCGTGGGTTTGAGTAGAGCATTTGTAACTGCTGGTTACGTAGCCAACTAAAAGCTGATGCTGGTAACTAGATGACGTGAGGGAGTGAATTGATATTTAGCAATGTGATCGGCTGGAGATGGTTCTTTATGATGAGGCATGATCCCCTGCATCCTGAGATGCCACAGTTTGGTTTACTGCCTCAGTAAAACATATTCAAAACCAGGTTCCATTACTAGGGCAGAATCTCTTGTCCAAGTTCAAAGACATCCTCAGATGCGGCGTGGCGAACCCCTCCTGAACCGACGGTTCCCTCCAGATTATCTTCGGGCCCCATTTAATCACTGAAACCATTCTCGTGCTCTCTTTCAAGTATTTTCCGACAAAATTCAACTCGTGACAACCGCGACTAACTCATTTTTGTGTTGCTGCTCGGTGTTTCTATGCTGGTGTGTGAGTGTGTATTTGGCCCTTCAGATACCATTAGTTTCAACGTCTGTCGATGAAAGGGTCAATGATGGGTGTTTTTAAGCAAATGGGCTTGCAGCTGGCTCATCTTCCAGGGGAAAGCTTGACAAGCTAGGGCGGGAGGACACGAATGATTCATTCTGGGATCGTGCATGGGGTAGAGTTTCACTAACCATTGGTCCGACCTTGTCCGACTATAATCGACTCTTGTCTACAATGATCAAAGGAAAGTACCCTAGATCCATTCATTTTTAATGAAACTGCCTTCACTTCCTACCTTCTCCTTTTTAAGTGTGTACTTGTGGTAGTGCATCTTCTGTCAGATCGATTTCATGAACGTGTGCCAACTAACCATGTCGGATTAGGTTATCCTAGCACCTAGCAAGGATCAATGTTTTGCTCAATGCTTTACTCAATTGGCTTTACGGTTCTAACTGAGCGGTTCGTATGTAGAGCATAGTCCCGATGAGTTACTGAACGATTACGTGAAATTCTCGTCACATTTTATAGTGCTACATGGTATCTAAGAGTTCGTTAGATTAAAGGAAGCTCCTGAGAGGTCAAGAGACCACCCAGCCAAGCTCAACTGCTTTACAACTTGACTAGTCAATCGGCTCAATAAATTGAGCTGTAGTGATTGATGAAAGTATAACTCGGTGGGTTTACTAAGCCTTCCTCTTGTTATTCTATATCGTTGAAAACATGATCTGATCTCTTCTCAGCTTTTCTTTTGCTCTCTTTTTTGCTCCTCCACGGCTCTCCAGAGCATACAGCGCTCAATGAAACCCCTTGGATACCTCCTCACTAGTTGCCAAGTTGTTAGTTGTCTTCGTTCTCAATACCGAATGCATCCAGGGAAGGCCAATAGCTGGTCTGAACTTCAAATGTGCTGGTAACAGCTTTTCTACTCTTCTACTCTGAATTACCCTTCTAGACAACAAATGTATCAGGGAATGAGTCAGGATCGTGGGCGTGGCTTCGAGAGGGTTCCAGATGGGAGCTCGGATGACCCGCCATCCGGCGTTCAGACTGTCATAAGAGGTAAGGTTGCCTTTCATTTATTTCTTCTATTCAACAAATATTACCAAGATTTTCCCAGTTGTACCACCTAGCACGGATCTGGTATTAAGGGCCCCCGAAAATGATTTCTGCACCTGTTCAAAGCTCTGTGCGTTACTGGACGAAATTAGGAAAACTGTGAGCTCAACTACCTCTTGTGAATGTAAAACCGAAAGAACAGAAGTATATCAAAGTAAATACGAAAATACATACCAGCACATTACACATGAACAATTTTTATTAATGAGAATAACAGACACCCGTATATGTACAAATTGAGCGAAGATATGGATCTATCCGAGTGAATCTGAACATACTCAATTTGAATTCGAACAAGTAGCTGATCAAGCTCAAAGTTACCTTGCGAGTTCATTTGCTGGACATCCTATAGTTCCAAATGAGGTCATTGCTATTAAAATACTTCGTCCACGTTCATCAATTTGTTCCATCCCCGATCCACTGTCTCCCTGAAATTCGTGTGATGATTCGGGTGTTTGTGATAGGTATGGGTCTGAATATGTTCGAAGTGGCAGAAGCAAGTGGCGCTCTACCACGCGCGTGTGATCCGAGGATCGGATTTTCAGGTTGAAACCTAGGAGCAGAACGTTCCATCCTTCCGGAAAGTTTAATCATTACCATGCTCGTCCGGGAGGATTGGAACAGAGGCTTACACATGCTGACCACCGTGGTCCTCTGTATAGGCACACACTCGAAACGTAACTATGTCAATAAATGGAAGTGGAGTGTAGGGATTCATTCCAAGCGGGATCGAATGCGGCCAAAAACTTTTATCCCCTTTCTTTTACTTCATCCATCAGACATTTATTAATTATTCGTATCAATCATTACTAAACAAAACTCACATGACATGTACGTGGGGCAAAGTAGTCATTTTTGTTCAGCGACGTTGCACAGAGATAATCAGCAGCTTGAAAAGGTAGCTGAAAAGTGAGAAGTACTCCGTGATTATAGCTACAAAACAGCTGGGTATGCTTCCTTCAAACAACACACAGATCCGTGGACAAAGGTTTAGAGGAATTACTAACGCAAGAAATGTTCTTAGAAAAGATTTATGTTATATTCTTGTAAATTCAATTTCTTGAACTTCCAATCAACTTCTCTGCCAGAATATAAAAGCGCATATCTCACGTTGATCACTTATACCGGGAATTATATCGTAGTCAAAATAGTTAGAAACCAAACCTTGTCACTCCATGGCCGGTCGCACTTTGGATCAACAATCATAGGAATCTCATGAATCATCGGTCCACTTTCATTGAACACTGAAAATCGAGAAATCACTTTTTCCGTCTACTAGTATTCAAAATGTGCAGGATTTACACCGACATGTTTGTCTATTAAGTTCTATGGGAGGGGATGATGAAGCGACTAGTGGCTCACTATCACGCACACATGGTTTAGGGTTCAAATCCTGCATCGGTATTCGCTAAAGCCAAGAGGGAGGCTCAGATGGTAAGATCTCCAGAGCTGAGTGAATCGACCACATCGTGTTATCGAATTTTGCTCCTGTTTGTGCTAACACCATACTACAGAAACTTCCTTTAGCCTTTGTCTATTCACCGTCTTCGAAATTTCCATCAAGGTACTCGTTTAGGCGCATGATTTCATATCATGAGTTAACAGTACCTTCGTGATGCGCTTGTGATCGAGACGGTGCAGGAACAGAAGGGCAGTGATGACAGGATGAAATGCAAACCAATAAACTACTTCTTTTAAATTTTCTTCCTGATATCAAACAACTGCAGTGTCAAGTAAATGGGCTCTAGTTGATTGACTACTGAATAGACAGTACTTGTCTTTTGTACACAGATCAGACTCAACCCACCGTAACTCCTTCCCCATCCTGCGACAGTAAGAACGTGGTCTATTATAGGACGTTCCGGAGGTAAACATATGGGCAATGCTGCCACTTCAGTGAAATTGATCCTGAATCTTTTATAGTCAATATGGCTTCTGCCGAGAATAATATGAAGCTCAAATATATTGATATAAGTATTCAGAGTCACTTTTCAGGGCATTTCCCCGTCTACACACCCCTGTGCACCGGGAAAAAATTTCAGATTTCCCGGAAGAAATTCTTAATCAATTCCCAGCACTTTTGCCCACCCGAGCAGTTGGAAGAGAATAAGAGATCTCATAGACTACTACCCGGTGAATGTTACGGACTAGGTACACCGTATGGCCAAAATTACCACTGACAATTATTCATNNNCCCCCCCCCCCCCCCCCCCCCCCCCCCCCCCCATTTAAGGACTAGAGTAAGTCTCAGGTGACTCGTGATAGCTCTACTAGCACTTCAGCCACTAACACTGTCTTTGTAATTTTATTAAAGAGGGGGAGTCAGAATATTTCACTACGAGGAGTGTTAGTTGAATAGATGCGCTGTTCAAGCTTGCCCTGTGGAGAGTCGTTTTCAACGTACCTTTCTTCCAGTTCGATGATTGCCCAGTCGTGTCCATCGCGACATCCATTCAGCACAAATCTTTCATCGATCATAACACTCCGAATCTGAGATGTTTCCAACATTTCTGTTACAGGCACTATCCGCAATATCACTTTCTTCCGTTATCCACCTACTAAACACATTACGAATAGATCGAAGCGGATAGCGTTTACTTAACTACTCGACTTTGATAATAATATAGAACCACCCAGTCATGTACCTCAAAATCGGTGAGGTCATTGAACCCGATCAGGAAGTGGTACACACTAACTATGGGATTATTCCTGGATGCAAGGTATACAAATAGAAGAATATACATAGCCATGGTATATGGTGTCCAAGTCTAAAGATGTACTGTCATGCTGATAGCACCATCACACCTGAACGAAAGGTCCGCAGGCCCAAGGCAATATTGAACTCCTTTAATTATCCGTTTAACTGCTAGGGTTAGGAATCATGATTCCAGCCTTGAGTTTCAGACTTTCCTAATAGCGGTATGCTTGTTCCACCTACTTTCCTATTTGAATAGCTTCCCAGTTTGGTAAATACAGAATGAAAGATTGGATGATGCCTGTATGGCGCTTCTGTCATTCAAAAGAAAGGCATAGAGTTTGAGTGATCGTTCAGAAAGTTTCCGCCCAAGTTGTTTACCGTAGTCATACCGTATACTGAAGTGGAATTTATTGTAATAGCTTACCTTGTTATACGTCATATCAGATTCGGAACAGTTCGGATGGTTTGGAAGATCTTCACTATATCCACGTATGCATTTACCACCGTAGGCTACCACTCTGTCTTCTATTTCTTCCTCTGTACGATAAACAGCTGCTCTGTATGGAGAAAATGTTTTGGTTACTGCACTGCTCCATTACAGCCAACTTTTCAACTCCTATTCCTTCACTGGTTCCTCCCCCACTCTACAACCAGGTAAAAGTCTCAGTTTTGCGGGTTCATTCCTACTCAGAAAGTCCTAGTCTACTGGCACCAGACCAATTGAGCGTGTGAATGGAATTTCATGAACACCCATCTTAAGGCTGTACATTAGTTAAAAATATCAGAACAAATTCGATAACTCCCTTTGAAAAATCGAGTTAGCCACCCGTGAATGCCTCGTCTCCCTGCATACCCTACCCTCGACAAGTAGGACGACTAAGTCGATTAACGGCGAAATCATCGGAAAGTTGGAAGGCCATAGGTTGTCTACTGAATACATCAAAATCGGAAGAATTTCACTTACATACAAGGGTTTTCTTGTCCTGACTGGAATTTCATAAATCCATGAGCGACAGTGAGAATATGATACGGTGAAATGATAGAACCCCCAAGACGATTCAATCCACTCTGCAAGATGATTCATTCAAGTTGCTTAGTAACTCATATACCTTACTGAATGCTTTGGTAATGTTGTGAATGAGTCTTTAATTATTATTTTTCTGAATCTGCACTTAGGCGGAGGTGGTGTAGTGGCAAGAGGAGCATCATCACACACCCGGTTCGAAGATCGCATTCAGTAAGGATAAAAGCAGTGACTTGTGCAGCGAATAGCCACCGCAGGTCATTGGCGAAGCCATGAAAACGCTGCTACGATTTAGGGTGGAAATCAAACGCGGGGCTCATCCCAAGAAGGGAGTGATCAATTCAAAACTCTCCAAATTTCAGAGCTCAGAAACCACTTTAAAAAAATACATAGTGTATAAACAGATCATTTATAAGTGGCTGATTTTGAAAGTCCCTCCAAAAGTTCAGCGGTAAAAATGTCCAATTTAAAAAAATGTTTTTAAATTGACCACATGACTCACCCACTAGGTAATCTATAACAGCGAATAAAACAAATAGAATAAGTTTTAGAACACAGTATGGCAATTAAAAGTTACAAAACAGCTGAGATACCGGTAACATTATGGAGACCGCCCAAGGATATTCTCGCTTGTCAGGAAATAGTTGCCGACCACAGATATCTTCTAATTCCTCGTTCATCTCTACGGATACGAAGGATTCCTCACGAACTATAAAATGAAAATTATGATTTTCGCATGATGAAAGGAGCAATTTATGCACAATAAACTGATAGCGAGCCAATCTTCAACTCTTAAAAACATCCTCCTTCTTAAAAATATACCGTTCCCATAAAAACATACAAATTACACTTACATTTTGGTCCAATCCATACAGGTGAGATGATATTAGCACCATGAGAAAGTTGATTAAATAATAGTGACCAAAGAATCATTCACACACTAGAAACAGGTTTAGAAATGAGATCTGGAATTTGTGACGTTAGTTGCCTGGTACGACCATGAAAACGTTATCGGGAACAATGCCGATTTGAGATGATTTCGATTGAAAAGTTGACATATTTGTGAACTCGCAAAGATTCCGAGGCACATTGGGTAGTCGTTTCAGATCGATGGGAATCGTCAGTTTTCTCAAAAATCGTGAATTCGACAAAACTTGAAGATTTTCTAGCAAGACAACTCTTTTCCAACCTATGTATTAGGGTAGAAAGTAGCTATATTGAGCAAAGCGGCTGTACCTGAAGGTGCTATAAAAAGCTCTGAAAGCATGAAAACCCGTCATCAGGAAGAAAGCGTGAAAACTTGGTAATCGGAAAGAAGCGAGTGGACAGCTTATCCAGGAAAGATTGTAAAATCCTTCTCAACAAATCCTGTTCCTACAGCACCCACTGAGATTATGAGAACACACAATCGTCACTTCCTTCAAAAAGAGATAGAAGAAATGCCCAAAAATGAATTTCCTACCACNCCAACAAATATGAATCCCGATTACTTTTATCGGGAAAATAGCAGAAGATCTCAATTATTTATAAGGTTGACGATTTATGGACAAAACTTCAGTCTCGCACGGGTCTTGAACCCGTACATAAGAAGGCAAGGGCAAGTGGGGTCTCGATAGTGTAAGAGATAGAGCACGGTGCCCGAAAAGTACAAGTACGGGTTCGAGTCCCGTCCGAGATTGAAGTTTTATCGCCGACCTTGTGGGACTTTCGGAACGCGTATTTTGGCGTAACAACGGCAGTCAACAAAACATCGAGTCAAAACGTATTTATTTATTAATTCGCTTGTTTATTTACTTATTATCAATTATAGTCACGCTTCCCAGGTAAACACTTTTTTAAATGGAAGCCTTTACTCCCTAGCAATCACCTTTTTCCTTGAGAATTTTACTCAACGCTTGTTCTTCGGTTTCTACTGCAGTACAGGTTCAGTTTTTGGTCAGATTACACGATATTATTGATAACCTTGACGAAACTAGATTTACAACAAAGAATCATGAAAGTACGACAGTACGATGCTCATTGGAATCGATGATATCTATCAAAATGTGACATTTGCGCTACACAATTCATCGACAAATTTTCTTCAGTGGCTTGAGCTGCGTGTGATAGCTGCTATATCGCTGTAATAGCTTAACAACTAGTTCTTTCCCTCTTATTTATGTGAACATCAAATCACTTTCCAGAACGAAGGTTGGATTTCCAAAAAGCGAGCGCATTTATTCTCGTAGGCTTACTCAGTCCCTTTTTTGGTATGCGCTTCGCGTTCGACTCCTATTTGGAATCGTTGTGGAAGATGAATGCGTGTATGGTATATGCTACATCCTGGCACAAATGATCTTCCTATCGTCTACAGGAGCGGCAATCCGTGGCCTTCCCGAGCTGGCTTGTTTGATTGGGTTTGTGAGAGACTCAATATTTCCGATAGCCTTCATAACCGTAGACAGTAGCACAAAAAACAACTTTGAATGCTGGGCCCGGGCCAGTTCCTGCTTGCTGGCCGTGGCAATGGCGGGAAGCTGCTCCACCGTCAGATAGCGCTGAGAGCGATCAGCCATCAGAACAAAAGAATCACCAACATCTCTAGGCTCAGAAAGCACAATGAAACCTACGTGAAGAACAGGCCCCTTGCGCAAGTTTTTTTGGGGTTTACCCACTTGGCCGGGAGTGAGCTACCTCCAATTCTGCGTCGCAGAAGAGTCGGTGATGTTTGAAAAGGGTGCTGACAAAAAATCATTCAGAAACATTAAGTTCGGGATGAGTTATGGCAAAAAAGGTTCAAGGTGATTCCTTTTTGAACGGTACTGTACATACATACATATATACATACATATTATACATAAATACATATGTAGCTGCGAAGATACAAAAGGGCAGTATAGGGCCCCAGAAGATACAAGGTAGAGACTTGAAATATTACAGAGCGATCAATACAGTAATTGAAGAAGTAATATTAATTGACCATTGAATGAACAATTTTTATCTCTAAAAGAAGTATTTAAGCTTGGGTGCATCATTTTTCTCATGTTCAGCTGAGGTACACCAATACGTCGAATTTCTGTTCTATTCTGGAACGATACCATACGTTTTCGCCCTCTAGGCAGCCTGACTTTCTAGAACCAGAATACATTTACTGGAACTTTCCACACCCCAATCGGTCACGTTTCCATGGAATTATTACAAATCTTGACCAGTTCCAAGAAGCTTCTACTTGCAACTTATCAACGTTCCGGCAGTCTTTCTATCACGAAACCTGATTAGACCGGCGTGATCGCCATTTCTTAAGCAGTTCCCTTTGACGAGTATCGATGACTGATAGCTGAGCGGTTCAAAGAGTTGGCGATTAGAAGATAAGCAGATCTCTCAGGCTATCATTATAAAGATTAAAGTGTTGACTTCAAAACTAATAAATGATGATTTGTTTCACATAATGATATTCCTGCGTATCTCGAACTAAAAGTCGGTGGACTTGCACGGAGCGATAGCGACAAGTCTTTCGAACAGGCATCCTTTCCCGTCAGTTAGAGTGGTTCATGAGGAAAAACATTACTGAAAAACCATGTTTTAATAAATTATTCGAAGGTAGCTGCGTAATGCTCTGCAAGTTCTCTCGTACGGGATTATCCAAAAACTTCTGAAAAATTTGGTTGCCTCATCGGTAGTGTGGTAGCAAATGGCGCACCATGAAAAATGCATGGTTTGAAAATCGTATCCCGGTCCCATACTCGCCCTGGCTAATGAGGCCTCCCATCTTGACCGGATAGATACATTTACACTAGGCTAGACTAGAAGGGTACAGTGATTTGTACACGACCACAACAAGCAATAGTATAGGCCACATACGCATCCAATACGGCGCTGCGATTCTGATGAAAGTCGAGTGCGCGGCGCATCCCAGAAAAGGGGTTAATGAGCAACAAGAAATGTGCCCTTATAATTTCTAAACTTATAAAATATAACAAAAAGGCTGGGATCATGAAAAGGGAATATAAAAACAGGGCAGAGAGTGTGTATTGACTTCACATGCAGTGCATCGACAAAGGGTCGGCACGAGAATACTGTATGTGTCTGTGATAACAAAGGAAAGAAAAGGACGACTGTCACCGGCGAAATCGCTAATGAATGAAAAGATATAATGAAGATTTTCAAAACAAAACAATTTATTACACTTTCATTATTAATAGTCAACAGGTGAGAGCGAGAAATCGCCTGTGACAGCCATCACATGTTGATGCGCTGTTTGGTTGAATCTAGTCATGAGATCCGGTTTTTATCACCTTCGTTGAGTTTGTTGAACTGCGACCGATGATGATAATGCTATGCAAGGCTATTGGAACGAGATGATGGTTTATGTAATAAGTTAGGTTGACATGAGAAGAATGAGTTGACAGTCGGGACGGAAACTGGAGAAGGGGGTCAGTTTTTTTTCTCTAGCCGTCAGCTCATTCTGCTCATGGTTGGGGAGGAACGAACCCTGCATTGGTACCCACTTATGCCAACCAAGCTTCGTCCCTCGGGTCGACTAATTGGTCCCAAATCCTTCTAGGAGCGCCGACTTGTACATTGGCTGGCCATCACAAGACAATGTATAAGCACCGTACACATTCAAACGCCTCTATGATTCTGAATGGAAGGCGAATGCTGCGGCGCACAAGCGGATTGATCGAGGTCAAGACTGAAGTTCAATACATAAGAATGGTCAACCTTCACAGCAGGAACATATTAAACTTACCTCTTGAATCATTTTATCTTCGATTTTAAGAGGCATCAAAGTCGTCAACAAGACCTACTTATGACCCGACGTTGAGGCTGCAGTAGTTTTTCAAAAAAGAGTTGACTAAAAGGAATGAAAGTTAGAGGAACCAGAAACAAATGAATAGAAGGAGGGATTTCCAAACAGAGTGAAGGTCAAACGGAGGTGTTCAAGGGTGTAAGGGAGAGAGGAGGAAGGGGATGAGTTTAGCAGGTGCATACCCACAAAGCAACATCAACATCTAGTCCAGATGTAGTCAACAGAAAAAATTAATGAACTATCGAGCTAATACGATGGGTTTGATAGTTATGTGAATGGGACTGAACAGCTTACGAGACAAGCTCATTTGTACGGCAGACTATGATGGAATGGAGGAAGATTGAAGTTTCAAACTGAAAGTCTTGGTAGTGGAATAGTGGTCTTAATGACCCTCCAAGAAGTGAAGTTGAAGAGATTAAAGGTTAAGGAAACGTCTGATTAAATCCATTAGAATGTCAAGGACAACTTGCTGTTTATTATCGCTAGGTATCGAAGGTTCACCACTCCACCAAGCTGTCTTCACGTAGATAACGAATTCAAAGTTACTGCAAATCGAAAAACTAGAAATTCCCAGACTTATCTGGGAGAGTTCCTTCAACCTACTCATAGACTCTACAAGGTGGTATGAGTTGCGATCCAGTTTTAGAAAAGGTTCTGCCAGTCAGCTTCCTCCATCCAGCTGTAACTGTTTACTTACTGTTCTAATGAAAAACTTCCAAACATGTGTTTTGTTTATTAGGGAGCAACGGAAGGTAGGCCACATCGTGGTGGATAACAGGGCAAGTACATACATGAATCTCAGAAAGAGAAAAAAACTAAGCGATTAGTGCCCCCGAAGAGCTCTACCCTTCACCAGCGCATTTATCTGGAATTACCGGCAAAAAACAGACAATTATGAGCTTTCCGCGAGTAAAAAGTTCCCTCCTACGTATTGTGTGTTCCTTTGTGTTGCACTGATTGGCTGGTTCAGATGCTGAGTTGCTCGGGATTGAAGTTGTCGAAGTTCATCCCCAAGCGGCGATGAAGCCAGCCGATTCTGTGTCGAGAAGACCTCTACGCTCTTTGCTCACCTCTATATCTTGCGGGTTGACTTATTATTAGAACTACTGGTCCTTGGCCGAGGGGCTATCCGAAACAGAGATTTGCCTCTACTCATACTCTGTATTATTATCGTATTACGAAAAAGTAGCGGAGGCGGTACAGGGACAACTAGCATGCTTCCACCCACGCATTATCCGGGTACCAACTCTTGGATCAACATCCGCATAATCCAACCCAGACTTCATCCCCTCGAGACCGGCCAATTGATACCAGATTCGGTTGAGAGACTGAGAGGAGTGATCTGTAGCTGCCCCATCCTTTCTCCTCGGGGCTTCAATACAGTGCCTTTTAAGTGGCTCCTTTTCGTACTCAATATGGTCGTGTACTCAGTCCATTGGTGGACGGAATGACCCAAATGACAGAACTTAATGCATGAGTACCACGAGAGAAAAGAAACTTCTCCCAACATCAAGATGGCTGGTCGTAGGTACGACTTGAAGAAGAAGACAGCGAAGCAGTGAGAAAACGTGACCCTCAGTTAAGCCGAACTCTATGACCACTTGTGGACCATGGGAGACGGGCTAGATTTTGCGTTTTTTCTTGATCCTTGCCGGTTCTCAGAGCGTGTGCGTACGGTACGTCGTGGCGGGACCTCCGAAAACAAAGACGTTTGGTACGGAAACAGCGCCAAATTTGCTCAGGCATATTGTCCTTCTTATGGTTGTATTAGAAATGTACCACTATCGGGTAATTGAAAAACAGAATGGAGCCTGATTTCCCAATAGCATCCTAAATGTGAATTGCCTTTGCCTTGAAGGTCATCCTCACGATCTGGAGCTTCGTCACATAATGAGCGACGAAGATTTTCAGCCTGTGCGCGGGTCTTCGAGTTGATTGACTCTCGGTCTTTCCTTTCGATACATAGACACTACCCTTGAAGTAATTTATGAAAAACAGCAATCAAAGGCAGTAAGAACACTGATCCATGACCTTCTTGGCCACGCTTTTCTTGTTTATCAAATTTGCTAAACGGGAATGATTGAACGCTGTTTATTGCCTAGCGTATCACATTTTCTACGATGATTTAAATCCATATTGAAGGTTTCGGATGGGGAAAATTGATTCAAAATTCCATGCCTATAATTCATTTTTCGCTCCCAGCCAATGTGTTCGTTCGCCCGACGTGGGTCGATTTCAAAGAATCTTCACTGGTATTATTGTAATTTCGTTGAGAACTTTGCAAACACATAAAGGTTGTGGAGCTCGCAGATTCAAGANGGTCCTTGAACAAAGGAAGTATCCTATGAATTTTTTGCTCAAAAATTTAAATAGCTCCATCGTTTTTTTGAAACGCTTGGACAGGGAGGGCCTTCTGATGCTATGTTCAGATCCTCCTTCGAAGCTATTCGTCGATGACAGAAGGCCGGGGAAGTTTTCTTATAAGTGATCAACGACGAGGTGGTACGAGCTGGTTCCCACTTACAGTAATCGGATTACTAGGTCGTTTCGATAATTTATATGAGGAACTTCATTCGGGTCAAAATCCCAAACCACCACAGCTATGCCGAGAGACTTTCTGGTCTTGCTCTCTGTGCACTGATTAAAGTAGTGACGGAATCGTGGTTTTATGGCGGAGAAGAAAGTCCCTGTTGACTCGGACGATCTCAGGGTTATCAGGGATGGAGCAAATGCGGCTAGACACGGCTTTTTTGGGAGACGGGCAGTAGGAACGGTTTTGTGTAATCGACCCGGCGCACGCGGTTGTCGCGGACCGTTTGGCTCGCTATAGCAGTTCCAGCGTTCTTCATACAGCTCATTCGACATGCGATACTAATTTTAGGCATGATTCTACTGCTAGTTGTTTTGTTCCCTTTTTTCTTACTTGCTGCTGCATTCTGCTACATTCCTTCGCGCGCGGCGTCTCTCTCGCTCCGACGCGACAATTTCGTTCCTACTGCACCACATTCCTTTTATGTTTCTGAGCGGTTAAAGGTCATGGAGAGCATCCTGTATTGTCAAGTGATGTCTCAGAGCGCAACGGTCGCGGTTCTGGGCTGGAGAAACCTCCATTGGGTCACAATAATGCTGCTTGATAGTCGCACCTTCCCGACACCGTACGCACCTGGTGATATCCGAGTTGGCCACGAAGCCTGCGAAAATGGGAGTAAAAGCAAGGGCTAAGAGGGAATAGGGTGCTTAGATGAGTGATAAATTGCTGGCAGACTTCTTGTACCTAACAACAAAAGGCTTTGTCAACAAAAACCCAGGGATGACTTCCAGCAGCTAAAGAATGTTATGAAAACTTGTTGTTATGAAAGATATCTGTTCAAAAATAAACAAGAATAAAGTCCACGAGGCTGTTTGGCGAAATCAGCAAATAGTAAGCTGTCAAGGTAAACATGGAGAAGTTCAAAGAATCTGCTATTTTCTGGGTTACTAATAGAAAAATCACGAGCGCAGACAATGGTTTCGAGAGAAAGCAGTGATAACTTTCTCATTGTCGACCGAACCGAAATTCAAATAGTAATAGAAAAAACTGGGAAAACAGGTATTTTAGGCCTCGTTGATACTTATTACAACAGTTGTGAATATTCAAGTGAAACGGGAGTAATGCCACAATGAGTAGCGGGTCTGTGAAGAAAATTGGTGTTGCACAGCAATCTATCTATCGCCGGATGAAAACACCAAAGATTAGTGGTCGAAAAGAAGTACTCTCCGTGACTTCAGAGAGGGCTCAAAAGATCATCATCTATCAGTCCAAATGAATTAAAAGATAAATAAATTACTTGACGGGAATTGGCGAAAACTAGTTACAAAAGTCATACAGTTTGAATCCAGCATGTGGTTGTTGGCCGGAACATGAAAAAGACCAAGTTCCTCAGCTCCAAGGAGCACACGGAGTCAATCGTCGACGGTCAAGGAGAAGTCATCGAAAAGGTCCAGGAATTAGGAATACCTGGGGAGTGATCTAGCCGCTGATGGTAGCGCCGGAAATCCCGAATAAACGCGGTAGGATGAGCTGGAGGGAGTCCACTGGTATCCTCTGCAACCGTCAAAGCTCCAGGGCTCTCAAAGGAAAGTTGTATCGGACAGTGGTAAGGCCCACGATGCTCTACGGCAGCGAGTGTTGGCCTGTAAGTAAAACCCATTAAGGACAGCTCCAGCCCACTGAAATGAGAATGCTTAGATGGGCTTGCGGCTGAAGCTTCTTGATCGGGTCATAAATGAAGACGTCAGACAGGAGTGGGGATTAACGCTAGGGGGAGGAAGAAGATGTGTCGAAGGTTTGCTACCTTCTTGTTATCGTTATCGTTGTCGTTATTTGTGCAGCACAATTAGTTCTTTGAAGGCACAGTTAACCACGAAAATAGTTTCTCACATTTTTCTCTAGGATGAAACTATGATCTCCAAGGATAGCACGTGGGACTTTGCCAGATCAAAAAACGACCTCGGCAGGACGTTATAGAGCCCCAAAACCGGCTTGACTAACAAGCACCCAAAAAGGCTGTTATGACGACTTTGTTTGAGGCTGTACCATTTTCGATGAAGCGTAAAGGCGCAGACGATGAGTACGCTTATGTAAGAGACACCCAGACGCCTACAGAGACATAATCTCGTACAGCCTCCTTCACGAGCGACCCATCACTTAACACTCATGGAACTCTTGAATACTTTCTCAATCCTGGCCTCACACACTTCTATTTCCAAAAGTCCGACTTCTTTTGCCTGTATGTTACTGGATTACTACGATAAGAACAAAACAGTCATTGTATGCCGTAAAAAAACCTGAGCAAAAAATTTCATACTAGACACATATCATGACTAAAACTTATGGTAAATCCATCTGCAGCATAGATAACTAGAAAATAAACAAAAAAGTAGGAAGGAAAATCAAGGGCTCATACAAATTTCTATCGATAACTTGAGATTAAACATGGGGCAGTCCAAGAGCCTTCAGATGTTTTTGGCATTCCTCGTTGAATACCTCCCCTACTTGTTTCCAGGCGGCTTTCTGCTCGTCAGTTAGTTTTCCACGTGATTGCAAAAAGTTCACGAAAACATCGAAGAATGCCTGAAAGCTTTGTGTTTAAAAGGTTATCATGGTAGGATCATCATTTATCAAATTATCACTTATTATCAATTATGATTATCAACCTATTTTCTATCGTAAAAAGTAGAAATGATGGATGTATACTCACACTCCACAAGTCTGGAGTCATCTTGTACTGGCGATGTCTGTTGATGGTTTCCCGAGCGTATGCGCGGAATGTTGCCTCCTGCAAATTGGATTTTACCATGATTACTACTAATTCTTCCGGGATTCAAATTAAAAACCACTTCTGTCGTAAAGGCAGGCTTATTCTGTTGATGCGATGGAACCTTCTCTTCACACTTTATGCAACCTCTTTTTAGCATTTGGGTCGTCCGGGTTTCCTGTTAGATCCACAGTAATTCAATCATCATGTTACAGTAACTTTATTCATGAATTCTGTTGGAAATTTTAATTCCCTTAGTTTAGTGTGCGAATAATAGGTGAGAATGAAATAAAAATAGTTGAGCCCAATAGAAACACGCTTTTCGACTGGGAAAAGAAATCCCTTGAAATCTCAGCCCCGGTATTGCGCTCTAGAAGTGGACCACAATGCTTACCAATAGGGACCGAAAAAATAATGTAAAAAAGAATTTTTTCTTAGGTCCCCTTGATGCACCTGTACTTCCTCCTTCCACCTGTACGTCTGCTACAGGAGCAAGTTTGCACTTCATTGTGCACACTTTCAGAGCGTACGGAAAAAACAGAATAAACGGACAATTGAGTAAACAAATCCAATATGCTCACATCGTCGAAGGTATCGGCCAGAATATGCATGGCTAACTGGATGCGTTGTCCTTGTTTGTCAAATCTGAACATTTTTGATATTGTGCATTCGAAGGATGAAAAAGCTAAGCCTAAAAGCAGCCAAATCGGCCTTCAAGCAGATGAACTAATGGTAAGCACAACTACCGGACTCATGCCGGCAATTTCACAATGCATGGCTCAATCTATAAACTACCTATGCCAAGTTTGAATGTTTCACGTACTCGAGTTTTTTCCCTTCTTTCTTGTTTTTACTCGTACCTTCAATTTCCAAAATTCACAAAAACCTTTTTATCGACTTTAAACCAAGTGCGTGATAGGCCCAAAAGTAGTCACTCTGAACCCATAAAAGAACAGGAAAAGTTATGCGGGATTCTTATTGTTAGCTACTTTACATACTTAGTTTATTACTAGAAGAAATATTGAGAAGTTCCTCATTTTGTAAAACCTACCGATCACTTTTCTGAACATCATCTGCTGTGAAGTGTTCGGCACCTTTGAAATATTTGCGAAGATCAGGGTGATGGGAGAACATGCTGGAACAACGACAGTTTTTCATCTGTTTACCATTTGCGGTACACTCTGTGAGTGTATAAATAAGTAGATAAATAAACGAATAAGTAAAATAATTTGATTTGGGCTTTTTCCGTCATCTTCCTATATTCATCTTCACTGTTGGATTCATTATGGATGCTTCAATGTCTCTACGTTTTAGCCGCATCTACTTCTGCCGCAGTACTTCCCCTCACCCCTCCCCTCTCAAGCTACTCTTGGAAAGGCTCATTAAAGGCTTTTTCAGAGATGAAATTTTTGCTTCATTTTTACGCCGTACGCTTTTGTTTCCAGATTTTAATAGCGAAAGCGGGAGTGTTTGATTTTAACGGGATTCTCATGATCAGCGTTTTCCTTGATCTTATTTAAAGGATCGCTGGAAAATGGGTTTTAGAAAACCGAATAAGTTCTCTCAACAGTAACCCATCCATGACTACACAAGGTGTAAACAATAAAAATAATCATTTCTAGACTTGGATACTCACTATTTGTAGAATTCCTTCGCGCCTTGAATTTGCTCTGGTGTAGTACCTATTGGCATCAACATCTCGAGTGACTTCTTTGTTTGCATTTTTGCTTCAGTAGGGGTCAACATCCTGAATTGGCCTTCATCATTGATCGTCTCATACGAGAACTTACAAAATCACAAACATGAACGAAATAACGTAAGCACTATCGCCGGAGAAGCATAAGAATAAGCCTTGTATCATCGAATATCTTAGTGTGTCATCTATCTCTACTTATACACTAAGATATTCGACGATACCCTCGAGTATGAAAGTCAGTATAAGAGAGTACTGACACGATGTGCTTCAAGGTAACATCAAAAGGGAAAATATGTAGATAGACGATAGGTGAGATGCCAATTTCCGAGGTGTTCAGCGATACTATCTTCACTCTTACAATTGGACCTTCGCGAATACTTCCATCAATCAAGACATCCATCATCTGTCAGGGTCAAGAGTAACAGTACCGGTTCTGCCTTTTCAGTTCTTTACTAGTTATCAGAGAGACAGCTGGTTTACCCTTTCCTATTCATATTCATCTGAAAAAGTATGAGTATCGGAATTTATATGTAGCTTGGACAGGGTGAATGTAGTGTAGTGGCAGGTGGCGCATTTTCAGACGTTCTTGGTTTGAGCATCGAATTCCAAGTCGCCATCCGCACAGGTCAGCCAAACCTTTTATCTTTCCGCGGTCGGATAAATGGTCTCAGACTCGGCATGGAGGATGAAAGCCCTGACTTGTATGACGCTGACTACTGTAAGTCATTGTACAGAGAATGTATACATACTTTACGCCACGGTTCTCAATGGAAGTCGAACGCGGGGCGCATTTCTGGAGCTGTATTGAATGCCCCCGAAAGAAACTTGAATTTATCTGGCTAAAAGGACAAGGGGATGTACTTGATATCAACATCTGCCTGTCGGAAAAGGTCAGCCAACTATGAAGTGTTGGTGACCTACAAACAATGGACGGTCACGGTTCTTTACGCCACGGTTCTGATAAGTCAGAACGGCTGTCCTTTTGGAGCAGGAGATGAACAAATGTTGTAATGGGTAATATTTCTAGAGAGAGAGGCGCAATAATGTATGAGTGCTCGAGAAGAGTGAATGGAACTTGATTTGTAGCGACTGGAAATGAAAAAAATTGAAGACTGCGAATGGTTTCATCTTAAGAATAGAAACCTTCGCGGAAAAAATCGATTCTTTAGAGCAAAAACACACGGGTCCCAGAAAAAGAAACAACTTCGAAGATCATAATGGTTTTTGGCAGGAAAAGACAAAAGCCAAAAGGCAGACAGACCTCTTCTTTGGCTATTGCTTTTCTCAGTATCAGCGCGAAGACCCGGATAGGCCCTATAAATAAAACGGAATAGCTCACTTCAGGCTGACTGCTGGAAGAACGAGTACCACATTTGTACAACTCCAGTCAGCACCTTTCTTAAGCAGTGGGGTCTTCTCAGCGGGAGGAGCGACCCAACAACAGATTCGAGAGGGTTTGAAATTTCAAGTGACAGGGAAATACAAGTTTTGGAGCACCCAAGTAGTACAGTGTAGGTGGGGCATTCGATCAATGGGGCACAATTTGAAAGCTATGGCTGCTTTCATAGTCCGCCGGCCGGCGTGCCGGCGGAGGCAGTGCTAGGGGGGAGGAGGGAGGCAGACAGTGTAAGGCAAACAGTCCACGCCCCTTCGAACGTTGTTTGTTTTCAACCCCTNCTCTCAAGCTACTCTTGGGAAGGCTCATTAAAGGCTTTTTCAGAGATGAAATTTTTCCTCTACTTCTACGCCAAACGTTTTTGTTTCCAGATTTTTGATAGCGAAACCGAGATTGACTGATTTTGACGGGATTCTCATCGTCAGCGTTTTCCGTGATCTTACTCAAAGGATCGCTGAAAAATGGGTCCTAGAAAACCGAATAAGTTCTCTCAACAGTAACCCATCCTTCACTACACAAGGTGTAAACAATAAAAATAATCATTTCTAGTTTTGGATACTCACTATTTGTAGAATTCCTTCGCGCCTTGAATTTGCTCTGGTGTAGTACCTATTGGCATCAACATCTCGAGTGACTTCTTTGTTTGCATTTTTGCTTCAGTAGGGGTCAACATCCTGAATTGGCCTTCATCATTGATCGTCTCATACGAGAACTTACAAAATCACAAACATGAACGAAACAACGTAAGCACTATCGCCGGAGAAGCATAAGAATAAGCATTATATCATCGAATATCTTAGTGCGTCTTCTATCTCTACTTATACACTAAGATATTCGACGATACCCTCGAATATGAAAGTCAGTATAAGAGAGTACTGACACGATGTGCTTCAAGGTAACATCAAAAGGGAAGATATGTAGATAGAAGATAGGTAAGATGCCAATTTCCGAGGTGTTCAGCGATACTATCTTCACTCTTACAATTAGACCTTCGCGAATACTTCCA